ATTTCCAGATCAAGCTTCTCCAACTTTCCCTGTCCCGGAGGATCTCCGATCAACAGATGAAGATAAGAAGGAATCAGGAACTTGCAAAAGAGGTCAAGTTTTTGCCGTGGCTTCAGGCGCAAATGCTGTGCTCGAGCAACCGCTTCGACAAGTCTCATGCCGTGTTTCCAACTTTCCAGCCCACTATTCACTGCAAAGTATCCCCCCAGATATTTGAAGGATTCAGTATGATCCACGCAATGCAATTGGTTGCCATCAATGTTGACTGTCGGCTGACACATTCTCCAAGACTTGTTGACCGCCTTGACTCCAAATGCAAAGCATTTCTCCGGAGAAAGCTTCATGTTCAATCGATTCAAAAACCGACAGGTCATGGTGAGAAGCGATTGCAGATCAATTTCGTTGTTGGCTAACAAGACCATGTCATCGGCGATCGCTAGGGCAGCAACACCCATCCCGTCAACATCCATGCCGAGCCCAGACTGGTCGATCATCCGCAACAATGGATCCAGGACCATGTTGAAGAGAAGCGGTGACAATGGGCCCCCCTGTTTGACTCCCCTTTTTATGTTTACTTGAAATTCGCCACAGTTCTTGAAGATGGTCCTAGAGCTGCCATACATCCCGTCTATGGCCCTGATGAGAGCTGGTGGAGCGCCACTTCCCTCCAACGCTTCAGAAATTGCCCAATGCGGAACCGAATCAAAGGCCTTGGAGATGTCAAGCACCGCTGCAGCCAAACTGGACCGTTTCCCTCTCCAAATCAATTCATCAAGGTATCTGGTGTTGGCGAAACAGCCATTGCCAGCCACAAAACCTCGTTGTCTGACATCTAAAACCACCTTCTTCCTAAGCCTGTGTTCAAGCACTCCGCTTAAAATTCGGGCAAATGCGTTTCCAATGGTTATTGGACGCCAGCTTCCAGCCAATGCAAGGTCCTTTCCCTCCTTGGGAATGACCGATGTGGTGTTGACTGACCAGGCATTGGGGTATTTCCCCGCTAGAAGAACTGCATTGAAAATTCCAGCCAATATGTGAGTGAGCCCTTGGAATTTGGTCAAGTGTTCCTTTCTGATCCCGTCCGGACCCGGCGCTCCCTTAGGCTTCATCTTTTTAATCCTCAACTTAATGTCTGAGGCTTTAATCGGACTCAAAGAAAATATCTCGACATCAAAAACAGGTCTGGCAGGCGGATCACACTGGGCGGCACCCAGAGCTGAGAGTACATTCGCTCCAACTCATGTTTTGGAGGCTCGATTTCCTGCCTTTGAAGCCCCCTCTCAAGCCTATTGGTGCGGATGAGCTCAGCCAATCGAGCTGGGTCTGCCTTGTATAGTTCCTGAATCTCAGCATACTCTTGCCTCTTACGCGCTTTGGCACCTTTCCTCCGACCTCTTCCATTGCCTCTCAGATCCCTGCCTTTATCAGCCTGACTCCTGACTGCGGATGTTACTTTCATGATGAAGTTTTCAATCCAATCCAAGTCAAGCACTGGTTCAGCTGCCCACTTGGCATGTAGCTCCCTAGCCAAGTCCGAATTTGGTTCCTTCCTTAGCCAAGCTGCGCGAGGATCCTCCCCCAATGCCCCTGAAGGCCGGTGGCAGCCATGTCTGTCCCCGTGTTGAATGACACTTCCACTGCTTCACCCGCAGCGGCATCTGCGAATGTCTCAGGAACCTCGTCCGAGATTCCCTCAGCCAACCCCGGCTGAACATTGGCCTCTACTACGGCATCTTCCTCTTCCCGAAATTCAACCACTCTCCCATGCATGATCAGGATTCCGCTGGAGACGAGCAACCTTACTTTCTCACGGATTTGGGCTGGAGTTTTCAATGGAAGTAACTCGGAAAAGTTGGATGTGTATCTAGATCCCACCAACAGTTGTCTGTTGCCCAGCAGAACTTCAACTTCGTCCTGAGTCCAAGTCACCATGTGATGGCCACTGCCGGGCCATCTGGCACCGTCCCCATCAGCCTCTCTCACCAAAAATCTAGCTTCCGGGTGTCTGTGTCTGATGTGCTGACTGCGCCCCCTTTCTGTGTCAAATTGCTGTTGACATGAATGGCAAGGAAACTGCTTTGGGATTGGTGCGTCGCCAGAGCACCGCGGGGTGTGGCACGCAGCCGCATGTGGCCCACTGAAGGTCTTGCGACATCTTAAGCATTGGAACGAGAGTCGTTTTTCCTGATGCACTGCACGATGATGCTTGACCAGGGCACCTGGCCTTTGGTGCCAACTCGGGCAAAACTTGCATTCACTTGGGACCCAAGGAATGATGTAGGCCTCCTCAAGGACCTCCGGGCTTCTGGGGGGTTGGATGGGCTCAGGAGATTCAAGCTCAAAATCCATAATCGATTCTCCTTTTGCTCTCCTCCAGAGCTCTCAAGTTGGCGGGGCACGCATTGCTGACGATGTTGTGGTCATGTAGACGCTTGGCCCTCTTACAAGGCGCGCATGTTGGGTTTCGGTCCTTGTTAGGGCAATCCCTGAATTCATGATCCTCGGCACAATGACCGCAGGTAGGGGATGTCGCCTTGCATTTCTAAGCCACGTGCCCATAGCTTTGGCATTTGTAACACCGCGTGGTCTCAATGTAATCTTTAATACGGCAACACTCAAAGCCAATGAATAGTCTCTCCTTTCCTGACAAAGCCCTAAAGCAGGGAACGCTCAGCTCCACCACCCAGTTTTCTTTGTCTTCCCTCCTGGATTTTAACCGCTTAACAACAACGAACACTGCCCTGAATTGGTCCAGTTCCATCCCTTCCACATTTTGGTGGAAGATGCTGAGTAGTGCCTCATCTCCATTACCATCCTCAATGGGTACGTCGTATACAGTAACTTTTGGCTTCTTGCCCTCCGGCCTCCGTGATGTGAGGCCAGCCGCAGAGATTGCCATGCTGTTAAGAATTCTCGTGGCACTGATTTTGTCCGCAGCTTCAACAATGATGGAGCCCTCCCTGCCAGATCGAATCCTAGCAATCCTAATGTTCTCTTCCCTCGGGTTCAGGGCCGCTGCGATTGCCTTCCTGGTGCCTTCTGAGGACAAGGCCGGCTTACCTTGCTCGTCTACCCCTGGCCTTATAACAATGGTGCTGGTCCTTGTGACCATCGATGTATATAACCTAACTGGATCGCGCTCGGCTGGTAAACGAAAACGGTCCGCCGCCGCCGCGCCGCTCCCCCCACCACAAGTGGGCAACCGCAGTGGGCCATAGCATTGAAGTAGCATTGTGACCACCGACACATCGCACTTTTTTACTTCCTTATTGTCACCAAAATGTTTAAATGAATTTCTCTTTTCGTGTATGGTATTGTATGTAATTTTTTCTCATAGGTACATTATCTAAACTATAATATAGGGACCCGGAACACATATTTAAAATTGAACTTTCTTGTTGGTAGTCTTGGATTTATAACACAGTTTTGATGTTATGTTTATGCATCGATATGGATTATTTTATTCAGTCAGTTGGGTTATATAGTACATCAGTTGACGTTAAATTATATTATATAACATTAATTGTTCACTCTCACAGTAGTGAGAAAAACTTCAGTAGGCCTACCGGTATTGAACTCCCAAGTGTAGAATAATCAAAGGAAATAAAACTTAACTTTTGTAGTTCTGATATAACTTTAATTAATCTAACAAAAAAAAAACAACTTTTACAAATAGAAATCATTTGCTAGACAACAATCATACATTTGAAAGATTTTCAATATTTTGCTAGACGTGGCTAAACAAAATAAGTTTATTTAGTTTCTGCCGAACGCCGAGGTTTGAAACATTACTTTTTAAGGTTTTTTCTTTTGACACTTTATGACAATATACTTTAGAAAACAACATGCTTATCATTTTAATGAGCATTAGATCATGATTGTCTTCACCAAGATCTCCGTTTGATTTGTGGCCTCGGAATACATTGCCAGCAAACATCCTTGATGCCAAAGCACATATATTATAGGCATTCATTTTAGCCCAGTTGGTTGAAGCAAAACTTCTGAATTGATTAAACAAAAACTTTATAATCTTAAACACATCTGACGAGGCTCTGACTAGTTTACCCCTGTTTACATGATCTGTAAAATGTGTATATGGGCTTAAGTTGTGTTCGTCATCAATCAATAGATTTGTACATTCCTCACATTCTATTTTATTTATAATCTTCCTTGTCACAAAACCACATATATAGTACAATGCATTGTCCTTAAATGTACTATTAGTATCCTCGTAAAGATTAATCAAAAGTTCAAAGTCGTCGTCGTTGTCCTCGGTTTCATTACTATGCAACCGCGCTGCTTCTCCAAAGCTCATGACCGAATTTTGATGGTGTTCGTCAAAAACCAAACAATTCCCCTTTGCAGAAGGCTGGATACTGTTACGGAACATAAGTTTTCTCAAGGCCCACTGAAATTGCTTTACATTTGGGTTGTTATTATTTCCTCCTCTAGCTCGTATACATGAAAATAACAACTCCAGGTGGTCTTGAGAAAATTTATAAGTTAGTATGTAATTCAATTTGAGATCAATTAGTAGTTTATCAATTAAAATGCCAATTGTGTTGATGTTAGTAATGAAACCGAGAGCAAATGTCTTTCTAGGGTGTTCTAAGATGGGGACGTTTTCAATTTTTAAACTTTTTAAATAGTTTAAACTTTTGTCTAAGATCGTCTTAATGTACATAAGGTTTTCTTTCTTTATGGGGGATTTGAAATTTTTCCCAAACGGGTCTCTACTATTGAAAATGTCAAATAACTGGTCAATTATTCTAATGAAATCTATGGTTGGTTTACAACCTACAAAATTGGGATGTTCCTTCATTAACAAAAATTGTAAAGCGTCAGCAACGCCAGAGCTCAACGTTTGAGCTGCAATTTTTACATTCATTTTTCTGTTTTTATAGCATATATGCTTGTCAGACAACTTGTTAGCCAATGATAATCCTTCATCTTTTTGCAAAGAATTAAGATTTTGTATATACTTAAAACTAACATTTCCATCATCTGTCTGAATGGTACCTTTGTCCGCCAAAGTATTTCTGGCTAATTTCAGCATGTGACATGCATCTAACATGACACAAATCTTATGAGATACGCCATTACACTTAACAAAGAAATAAGGTTTCTCAGGCAATTGGCATCCCAACTTTTTCACAGCTGTTATATTGGAACTGGCACCATCGAATGTTACATTATGGACGATAACTCCGATTTCTAGCAACTTCGATACACACATGTTAACTAACTTAGACAAAATATCGGAACCTATTTTATCAATGAGAAAATAGCCTACTGCACATTTAAAATTACCTGTTAGTGAAACAACTTGAAAAACTAAAGCTTCAGAAGCTAAGGTTTCGGATTCACCAACATTTACTTCATTGCCAAGGTTAACATAACCGAAATTCTTCCCTAAATTATGGTCAAAAATTACTTGCTTCCTGATGCTCATGGCATCAAATGTAAGATTTACATTCTTTAAAAAAGGCTTTGATTCCAAGTTTGCTTTTAAATAATTCAATACCTCCTCCAAAAAACCAGGCAGGCAGTTGAAACTTGCAATCCATTTCCTCAGTGTTGCAGGGTGAGGCAATAGAAAGTTATTTTTTCTGAGAAATGAATATGCCTTTGGCGAATAAAAATACATGGTCAAAGCAAATTCTTTCATTTTATCTGAAAAATTTCTGCAGTTCCTAGCATTCTTATTCTTAATACTATGTACAATTAAGTCAAGAGGAAACCCAGAAAACTTATCTTCTAATAGTTCTAACAGTCTATCTGGAGCATTAATTTTTTTCTTTAATAAAATAATCACATCTTTCATTGTTTTTATCTTCTTTTCTCTCCTCTTTAACCGTTGTTGTAGAATCTTGATTTTCCGTCGAAGCAAATTTTTGGTTGGTGTTTGTGGCGTCTAAAAATATTAAAATTAAGAGTTAAATTAAAGTATTAGGCATTAAGATAATCAGATAACGTGCTAAGAGCTTCCATGTTGTTTCTATGGTTAATATGTTCATTGATGAAGATTCGTATAGACGTAAATTTTAATACAAAAGACGTATGACTGAGTAAAGTTATCGACTTTATATTAACTAAGTGTTGAATCTTTGTATATTCTACCCTACTTTCTAAAAAAAACCCTTACCTGTTTGTTCGTAATACTAATACACTGGATTTCATCTGGTTTTTCACATGATGGAATGATAATTGATGTACTAGGAGAGGAATCGTCATGTTTCGGCAACAAAGCAGTTGGTGTCTGGATATCATCAGATACACAGATGTCATCAGATACACAGATGTCCTGTAAATAGCCTATATTAATCATGTGGTAATAGGTAAACATTATAATGTTTATCAACATAAACACATAATGGTCACAGTGAAACTGGCAAAACCCAATCTATAACAACAAACTATTTATAGCTTATAATAGCACTTACACTCATTTTAATCTCTATTTTGATTGTCCTAGTAGTAAAACATGTTTTATTTTCATTTCGTCCTAGTGAAATGTTTCTTATTAATTTTCAAACAGCATGACCTCCAATAAAATGTGTGGCTATCGTAGATTTATCGATAGTAAACTTTCATCGTAAAATCCATTACAGGGCAATCACTACTTAATTTACGTGTTCTTTTGTACTTTGTTATCATCACCACTTTATGAACAATGATTGTATTTTGGATATTTTACATTTATATGTAAGGAAATAAATTAGGCTACAAACATTTTGTATATCTACGATTTCACCTAAAAAGTATCACAGTTCATGAATGTCATGATGTTATAATTACCTGTTTTTTAATTATAATCCTTCTTTTCTTTGGTGGTGCTGAAGCTAGATGAGGAGGGAAGTCGAATACTGATGGCACAGCGTCAGGTTTTAACAATTCAAAATTGCTGTTTGGTCGGATTTGAAATTGGTCCTGGGTAAAATGTAAACTGCATATACGGGCATGCTTGGAAGGGTTGAAGTTTTTCCTTTTTGTTGCAGATATCCATTTACTTCGCAGCTCAGGATCTTTCGGAAAGCTAAAAAAACGTATTCAATCAGAGACTTAACAAGATATGCTTATTTTGTGGAAATAAAATATTTAATCTATTTGACAAAATTAAATACAGGTTTTTACTGTGTACTTAATCTTAAATATTTTTCAACACAGCATTCTAATGACCTATGCTAATGCCACGAAACTATAAATAGTATAAACTATACAAGAGAACAGTACTTACTTGTAAAAGGATATTCCCGATCCCTTTTTGGCACTTTTGTTGCAGTTGAATGCGACACACCTCTGTGGCATGATGTAGAACTTTCATTAGACATAACAAAAAATACCACCACTAACATCACGAGTACGACAGTGATTACATGGGATGTAAACAGTGCAGTCAACGCACGAGACAGTCGCCGGCGCCGCGTGGTTGCCCACCAGTGGTGGGGGGAGCCTACTCTGCGCCGGCTCGTTTTCAGCGCTGTGCTCTCGTGGCAGGGCGCGATCCAGTTAGGTTATATACATCGATGCTTGTGACTTGACTGGCCTTGGCAGCATCCGCAAACGACCTCTTGTTCAATGACGGAGCAGCCATAGGCAGAGAACAAGCTATTTTTCAATTTCAGCTTCAATCGAGGCCCTCCCATCAACCAGCCCACGGAGGTACGCTATCTCATTGGCCTGCCGGCTCACGATGGAGGACATGAAATTCAACCTGTCCATGATGGCAGCTTTCTTTGGTGCCGTCAGCTTCTCGCAGTGGAAGACAATGTCCCTAGCGGCACCCTCAAAGTGCGGCTGGTCACCTGGCCCCTCCGAGTACCTGAAGTGATCCGGACCTTCCTCATCATTGTCTCACTTAATCCAGACTGGCTTGAGATAATAGCCATACCAGACTGCCACATCCTTGACCTAGCTTCTTCGTGTTGCAGGCGCCTTAACTCCTCTTCAGCCTCCCTGGCTTCAAGATTTACACGAGCCGCCTCCGCAGCTTTTCTGACTGCCAGATCCGCAGCAGCGTTGAGCGGTGATCGTTCACGTCCTGCCATGTCATAGTCCTCCTGTTGTTGATCATCATGAATGTTGCTGGGCGAGTGAGGTGGCGAGTGACGCACCCTCGCTGATTTGCCAAAGAGCTTCTGAAGCTCCTCCTTTGAAATTTTCATGTCGGTTGGAGGCTGGGAGCCCCAGCCGAACTGCGGGCGTGACTTTTGTCAGAAAAAATGAAGAGTGACAACTTTCGCTGATAAACTAGACTATGTACAATGACCCTAGGGTGACACTGATGGTGTTATGAAGTGTTTGTTGCAGTTATCATAATTGGTAAAATGCTCCCAACATAACAAAGTTATGCATCTGGGGCAAGCGGCAAAGATTTCTTCTTCGATGCAACCGCGAGCTTCACAAATTCTATATTGACTTTCATCATCATGTATATTATGTCTTGAAAACTGGTTTGCAGTTTTTTTCCATTTGAGTTCCTGTAGTAGCTTTTTTTTAATTTGTCCTTCTGATGTTTGACTTTGCTTGGTTTTGTTTTAGCAAAAAGTTTCTTTTTTGTTTTATTCTTATAACACGGCTTGTGTTTGGTGTGGTGGTTTTCAAAGAAAAAGGTTTCACATATGTTTCTAAGATACAGAAGAATCTTTTTTCATAATATTTTCCTTTGTTATAATATTATTATTTATTAAAATTGCGACGCTGCCTACAATGCACTGGAAAAAAAAATTAAAAGTGCGTGCAGTCGTCGCCGTTTGCCGGGGATAGCTCAGCCTACAATGGCTGGGTAAAGTTCCAGGGTCTGCGATAAGGTCAGGGAAACCACTAGGCCAATAGCCGGGTCCAACCGGTATAGGACTGGCTCATACACGGGCACTGTGAACAAGTCAAAAACAAGTCACCAAAACAAACGTGCAATAATCACTACCAGGCCTACGCCGATTCTCCACTCTCCTAGGGGGTCGTTGCTGACTACGCAACTCGGGCTTCGTCCTAACCATCCAATAGTTAAGCCCAGAGTGCCTAAAACACGGTGAGTTGTAACACGACGACTTGCCAATAAAAACCACAACGCGTGTTATCACCAGGCGGGGTCTACTAGGCCACTATAATCCAATACACAACTCTAATGCCCAAGCTAAGAATCAAACAGTTCACTCAATAATCGTACCACATAATAATATACAAGTACACTATAGGTAGAGTGACTACACCACTAGTAGCTGGTCTCAATAAATACCAAGCCAAACAAGCAAAACTAAATGGCAATTGCACTATTAAAACATTGAGCTACTTAGTAGCAGATAAATAAATATTAACTACGTTCCAAACACTAGATAAATATATTATCTGATAGCCGGTACTCCGCTATCCAAGCTACCAAGCTAACGTGTTGGATTACTAAGCAAGCTGTTCAGGTTAAATTAAAATAATTAAATGATTAATCAATACCAACCCTACTGATACTACCACTACTGCTACTATATCAACGTTATATTGCTTAGCCGGGCTTCTGTTAATAGGCTAATAAAACTAGCTACTAGCCTACTGGCCTCGTGCTTCCAACTACGCACGCTAAATCGTGCAGCCTAGGTTTGTCGGGCCTCAGAGTTATTAGTAATATAACTAACTCTTGGTACAACGCAAAATAATAACTACTACAGTCAATAAATTATATTATTTGCGCTCTAGCACCTGCCTAGAACCGTCAGGAATATACTTTTATTCCTGACACCTGTAAATAAATCCTAACTACCGCCAGGCTTTGACCAGCACGGTTACAACTCTAACTCTCGAACTCTCTTAAACCAAAATATAATAAAACGTCGTCCACTCACCACAAGTGGGTCACTGTCTCACTACCCAACTTGAATGCCGACACTCACTCCTTGAGCACCAATCTCACACGACACCGATGTCACCAAAACACTCCACGTCTCACTCGACAAACGCTCGCTCTTCACTGCCCGGGATCCACGACTAGAATGTCCTTCTCGGCTATCCAGTAGTCCCGGGATACCCAAGCTTATCCAAACTGATAAGCCGGGTCAAAGGGCGCTAGCCAGGTTCGCCGCCACCGCTTGCTTACCTCATCAATCGGTGCGCGGCCAAATAGCAAATATTTACCCCCCTAGGAAAAAGGCTCGTTACAAAATTAAAAATTACGTAAAAAAGGCCTAATTGTTTTAATTAAAATTCAAAGCGTATTCACAGACAAACAATATCCAGTGATCCTCTGGTTTTATTCGCCTTTATTTACACTTTCCCAAGTATTTAACAGTAATTGATTGTGAAATTCCTTACAAAATTTATTAATCCTACAAAGTTAGCAGATATAGAGATCTACATACAAATTCAATACAGGCATAACTGTGGACATATTGATAATGCTCATCAAGCTTCGAATTCGAACTGAAATGCTCTAGTTATAATAATAAGTAGGGTTACGATGCGTTCGTTTAGTTTTTTTTTATTTGATAAACATTGACAGAAATTAATTTAGTTAATAATGAATTTTCAAAACCTAATAAGGGAAAGTTATTATGACCAAATACTCTTTATCAACTGAATAAGTATATAAGTTATTTTGTTCAATTTATGTTTGTATTTCACGTTGTTTTAATGTCGTGTATTAGTTATTGAAAATTGATTTGACTTAATGCAAATATATATTATTTAACTGAGATTATGTTACAAAGAATGAACATTAAAAATATAAACATTTAGAAGTAAATAAGCCAACAGATGTTAATCATAACATTTTCTTAAAATAATAAAACACCCTCAAAATGTTTTCATAAAAACTTTGAAGCACCCTAGTCTAAAAATATATTTGCAAATTTAAAATTAAACACAACAAATTTAAATATTATCGTATTTTGGGCAAAATTATCGTACACATCACATACTTTATAATACTATGTATAACATGCAATTCAGCGATAAAATTATTGAAAAGTTGTTGGTGTACTGCAGTTTTACAATTATAACTCGAAACTAGCTAGGAATACAACAGGAGGTGGCACTAGAAATCGACACTTAGGCTAGAAAATCGAAACTTTGTGTTTTTTTTTGTTGGCACCAGTTAGAAGAATCAACCAGCACATTGGCCAGAGCTAATGGATATATTACAATCCCACACACAATTCCCTATACAGCCCCTAGTTCCAATTTACCAAGTAAAATGTCTACAAAGTACTATGCCCCTAGTACATACAAATAGTGGTTAACGTCTCTCAATTGTTCAATTATCTCAGTATCTACCGCATTTGTATCCCATCAGTAGCTCAGTAATAATTGTTATCCCCGAAAGCTGCAGCAGCTGCTACCGCCAACTTAACACTCAACGACTTCCCGTTTCGTTCTGTTGCCTGTTGGTATTGGAGTATTAATTGAGAGCGGTTGATTTGGATTTTTGATATAGTTAGTTTCGTCTGCAAGATTAGTTTGTTAACTTACCAGACCAATTGACTTTGTGTCTAAACTCAAATGTGACAAGAGAATAAGTAAAAAAGCAATGCATCCATGGTATTGCACACTATGTGTTTGTTGTTCTAATCTTTCTCATCTGTCAATATATTTCATTTTAACGTTTATAAACTCAATAACTCTTTTGCAAACATAAAACTAACTAACTATAATGCTTCTTCCACACTAACTTCCTTAATTTCAATTAAAGTGCAATGCAATCTATGTTCAAAAAAATATGGTCAATTATAAAATAAAAAAAATACTTCATCACGATTACTTGATGCAGTTTATTTAATTTATAAACAGTACATTATAGTTAGAATTAAAGAAAAAACACATGTCCTTGGGGGTGATACTATTTAGTTGGAAGGACTTAACTTATCAATTGTTTAGCCTAACACAAATTCATATATGGATGATTAACATAAGCCATGTAGGCCTGTGCATAAAATTGTTTTTTTCCAAAAGAGTTATACCTAGTTACAAAACAACACAATAAATAAAAATAATACAATGGATTGTTACGGTTACAAAAACACTATTGATTGATAGAAAAGAGTATTCTTAAAGATGTTACATGTATTGATTCAAACTACTGTTGTACTGTAGTAGGTAACACAATTCGTAACGAGACTTTTTTTGAGAGATTGTAAAATTAAAATAACATAAAATCCTGCACGAGAATCACAACTAAATTTTAATTAAGTTACTGTAATATTTTAACAAAACTATGTTTTTTTATATGTGTGAATAATCAAAATCAAATAGTAAAAAAATATAACTAAGATAACCTACCTAACAACCTTGCAAGAGGGCCTTTATGTTTTTGTAATAACTAAATTGACCTTTTATAATATCCATGAAAAGTTTAAACGATAATCAAACTTATTTTAGAAAACTATAGGCTAATAGTGTCAAGCGAAATAACTAAACAAGAGAAGGTTCCACCATGAGGTAGACTAGTACAGAGTGTTATATATATTATAAACATATTATATGAATCAACAGTTTTATAAAAATCATTGCCTGAACTAAATCGTAAAAACTCAAAGGTAACATGAAATAACCTAAAATATTAAACCAACACAACCAATAAACAGTTTAACATACTTAACAAATACACAT